AAAATGAAACAGTTCCCACAAGCATCAACAAAGCTAATGCGGAACCAACATATACCAGGGTGACTTATAGCAGAGATGCCCTATAACAAAAAGTAAGCAGTGTAAGTCCCAAAAGCAGTATAAACCCTATTATCAGCAGAAGCCTCTAGATGGAGTTCTAAGTTTTCTATGCATCATCCACCAGCATTATCTCTAACAGGCTTTCTCTACACAAGATGTCAGTGATTTTTGAAACCAACTTAAAAGCTGAGATCTTTATTGGCCCACATCTGGGCAGAACTTATAGTATTAGTGTCAGTAAAAACACGGATTCCGTTTTCCTTAAAGCAAAGCTTTGTATTCTTTCAAAGATGTTTTTCATTTGAAAGAATCACAGGCAGGCAACAAAAGGCTATGCAAAAGGCTAATAAGTCCTAGGTCCCCAAGCAGAAGCCCTCACTAGCTCCTGGGCTAGTATCCTAAATGGCAAACAAAGCAGCTGTGGGCTTCTGTTTCTTCTGAAACACTTCATCTGTCAGGTATTTCCTAGGACAGAGTGGTAGCTACCCTGAAGCCCTCTAGCTCAAACTTACCTGATACAAGGGTGTTGGTTGATCTGGGGCTTCTTGTTTTATCATGTCACCAGTCTCTTTTTAAATGTTAAATTGTATGGAGAATGAGCATAGGATATTTTCCCATACTTGTATCCTTTTTCAAAGGAGTCACATGTTCCTGAAATATGCCACACTGGCATTTTATAACTTGTTTCTCTGATGTGTTTGGAAGGGACAGTAGGGATAGATTGACATTTACTTTCTCATCAATCATTCACCTGAGCTCTAGCTGTTGTGCTGTCTTAGAATGTCATTTGACCCTGAACTGTCTCCTCTAAGGTCACCATTTACATGTTTTTATGAGATATGTTTGGTGAACATGACAGTCCATGATGTCCATAGTTCTCTGAGAAGTACAAATACACACACGGCCCTTGATTAAACATCCAGAGTACATAGTTGTACTAGCGTTCAAGTGTACTATCAGTACTCTCAGTAAATTTCCATATATCCTGTCTGAGGCAGAGAATCCTGCTCCCAGAATCCTCAAGTAAATTGAGATTTGCCAGCCTTGAGTCAACCACAGCAATTCATAATACCCAGCACCATCCCAACAGTCCCTTCTCAATATCCAGTTACTAACAGTGATTGTGATATTACAACAACAACACCAATTATACCTATTATTTTTGGGCCATGTGTCTCCTTTTTAAGTTAAAATGACATTTTGCAGTCTTCAGTTGTATAATTTGGCAATTAAATTTTTAAAGGGTCCCTGTAACGTTTGCTTTTTCTTATACTGTTTACATATTTGATGCACAGGAAAAACAACACTGTTATTCCAGGAGTCAAAAATACAATTATCCATTGATTCCCACACCACTCATTACATGACACAAAGTGTCATACTGGGTACTTATTTGAGAATCTATATCTTTTACAGCTTTTTCAATCATCTTGTATTTTCAAGCAAGTGCACTTTTTATACTTATTAGAAGATTTGTTGTCTGTTCTGATTTAGTGTTCGCAAGTATGTTGTATTTCCATGTCTTAATCTTTATCATTTCCTCTATTTCCTCTAAATTTGGTAGCATCTATCTGGGTTGAGGTATATGCTTTTATTACCTGGGGTGTCATTGGTAAATTTATATTGGAAGTTAATTATTTTCCCCCTGCATACACCACATTCCTCATTCCAGGTACCAATGCTGCCTTTGCAAGATCTTGAAGATCAAATGGGAAGACAGGCACACTAATCTCAGTGTTTTGGAAGAGGTAAAGACCACCACTACTGAGGCAATAATCATCCGTCAGCAACTTTCAAAACAGGTCCTGTTTTCTCAGCTGAAAGAAGGATACTGTAATGTGCAGGGCTTAATGAACCGCGGTGAAAGCCGCTTGCCAGCCCCGCACTGCGCATGTGTAAGAGCCGCATTTTGCATGCACGCGTTGCCGGTAAATGGGGCACTGGGCTGAAATCTACTCTCCAAGGGGCTTTCTCCTTTGATTAAACTCTACTGTTTTCAGCACTGCAGTAAACCTGTTCATGGAACTGAGTTTACAGATCAACATACAAAAATCAATCTTTTCCTCTGTATGGCCAACCTCAGCTTGATAAAGGCCAGAGCATCCCATGCTGCAACACAGGTTCCACACCTTGGCCATGCTTATAGAGACAGCCCTCAAATATCAGCCAAATGCTGCTTCCGTCTAGGGCACATGGCAACAGGCACAGATGTGATACCTCATTCCAGACTTCAACTGCAGTGCCCCCAGATGTGATTCAGCTCAGTCTAAAGACTG